GGAATAGAATAGAAGCAAAGAGAATTAATTGTATCCATCGTTGTTTGTTAGAATTAAATTCATATTTAGCATGTTTTCATACTTAAGTACGTCTCATCATATTTCCTACAATTTGTTAATATAAAACAAAAATCATGTAATGCAATAGTGATACTTGTCTCATTAGTTTAATTTTTTAAAATTAATCTAAAATTCCTAAACCTATCAAATATTAACAATAACAATAACGTCATTTAAAATATTGTGATTATTGAAAAAAAAGAAGTTATTTTGTAACGTGACGCTGGAAGGCAGGATGAATCAAGCAAGGGATTAGTTTGTTTTTTGAGATGGTGTGGGTTAATTTATTTTAATGAAAGCCTTATTTTCAACTTGAGAGTTCTATAATTCAAGGATTTAAGTATGTGGGGAGCAATGAAGCCAATGTTATAAATTTTAAATATTTTCATAAAAAAAAGTCTAGTGTCATTTAATTAGCTGTAATGTTTTTGGATTTGGTTCGACTGATAATTGCATTATGTTGCTAGTAATTAATATTGGATAATTTTAATGAATTATTAACTAGTCATAACATCTTTAATTAAATAAAATTATATATTTTGTTGCTTAAAATTACAAAGAATTAAACATAATATTGTGATTGATTTATACTTAAATATAATAAATTTTATTCCACTTAAATTGTTATGTTTATATAATTAATTAAGATAAATATTAAATTATATTTCTTAATTTATTAATTTATTCACATAAATTAAAAAAAAGAAACATAATTTAATAACTTTATGATAAAGTTTTATAATGAATATAACTGAGTAAAGCTTTACATAACAGACAAATTTTATGTCCTCAAATCGATAGATTTATACATGATCATTGTTTGATATCACATTTTAGTGTTTCACCAATTTTATGCTAATTACATTTACTACGTAATCTTGATATATCACTTATAGAGTCGGACATCACTCTATGTTTGATGAGATTGAATATTGGGAGGTGGCAAAGAATCGTGTGAATAGATTCAATAGATTGGTAGAAAGGAAATGTAGGTGGAGTGATATATGTAAGCAACGTCGCAAGAGCAATGGCTGAAGTCTAGTACTGGTAGGTGAACATAATTAGCACAACCCTTTGTTTTAAACAATATATCTTTTATCATTCTTCTTTTTTCACTCCTAATCCAAACAAGCCTAAACCCTAAACTCTTCCTCAAAGGGCTCTAAATTCAGCAGCTACAAAGGTATTTTAGATGATTGTTCTTCGCATCTTTCAATTCATTAAAAACTACAAATATCACGAGATTAGGTTCTCAAGACTCACTTGAAGCAACACAAAAGCTTTAGCACAAAGAATTGCTCCAAGGAAAGTAAGGGAGCTTGCGGTGCTAGAATTAGAAATGTCACTTGTTCATGTAAGAAACACTTTAATGTGATATTTCTTTAGACAGTCTTGATCTTCGATCATGAGATGGTGACTACCCAACTCCTATATTCAAATGGTGGAAAAGGAACTTGCAAAGACACTCCAACGATTAAGTGAGTGTTCAGTTAAGAGTAATAAATGATGTAGTATTAAAAAATCATACTTCCATCAACCTTGTATTTATAATGATGTATTTTGGTCTGATGGGCTTTTTGAATTAAGATGTTGGTGATTAAGGGATTATGTCTTAATCTAGGATGATGTGAATAATTATCGCTTAATTGTGATTGAACTGCGTTATTCCGATCAGTGAGAGGAGAGTTCGGTTTGTATTTCGGCCGAAGGGGTGTTCGGTTTGCCTGATGATCGAGAGGGTGCTCGGTTTTTATGTCATCTGAATGGGTGTTTTGTAACGACCTGCCATGGTCCTTACACTTAGTGGAATCGCAGTAATCTATTAGTGAACTAAAATAAAATATTAGACTGGATGACAGAATATACATATATGTAAGAAGGAATAAGAAAATAAATATTTACATACAAAATATCATATTATGCATATACAGTCATCCAAAATAATACTATCCTAGTGTCGGTCAAGCACCAAAAAGACAAGTACCCAAGAGGGTCACTTTGACACCAAGAACAAAATTCTACTCTCTGCAGCGGTCACCACAGCCAGCTCCAACCTAACCCTGATCTGCTCCCATACACGGTATGATCATCGCAGTCCATCCACATGGAAACAGAAGGGTAAGCTAGAGTTCAATAAACAACCATACAAGTATAGGATAATGCTATACTACTCATTCGTCCAATCATCATCACAACACAACCACACAATTCAGCATGAAAGCTCAACTATCAACTCATTCATACAACTTATATGCAACATGAGTACAACAACACATACAACTTTCAACTAATGTGTCGTCACACATATACAACTAGGAGATCTCCAACAACTGAGGTTGAGCAGTCTAGGTGGCATAAATCCTACCGAATCCAACATTTGACCTATCTTAATCAGGTCAGGTATAGAGCATCGTTAGGAACTCCGAAGAGAATCAGGTATAGACAATAATAGGTGATTGCTCAGGTGTGCCACTTAGATTCGGAGGTCCAGTACTACTGTCAAGGTAGAAGGGTATGGGTATGGGCCTACCACGGCCTTGACTTGCATCACCAATCCACATATGGAGTTAGCCTACCCACTGCCCTCCAAGTACCATGCACCCTCCAGTACCTAGTCAAAGATTTCATCTCTAACTAGATACTTTACTCACATTGGTCATTCAACCATGACATGAAACGATTACTTTCATATCGCCCAATAATACTAAGGGATTCAACTTTAAAAACAACTTTCAACTTATCTTCTTAGTACTATGTATCTCAACATAGGATATATGTCTCAGCCATATATCCCCAACTTAACAACTTTACAACAATAGCCGTCTTTACAACGATAAGACTCTTAATAACAGCTTGAGTAAACAATTTAAGCAACTATAGTCAACAAAATCTCAACTTCAACAACTTTAAAGTAACTTACAACTTTAAGGCAACTTACAACTTTAAGGCATCTTTCAACAATAGACATCACATACCAACTTGACAACTTTATATACAACTATATAACCTGAAAATCAGAAGATTTCCACCACAGGCAATACAAGAAATGCAACATATAAACTCCATACAACTCAAAAACGAACTCAATTTCAACGTACAACCATTCAAGCATCAAAATCCTCAAAAACCCTTATTTTCCCAAAACCCCGAAAATGAGAAATTTCTCCAATCCGACCACGGATTCTCAACATTCATACATCAATCGAGTTTCTAAACTCACATGCAACCAACAACATCCATTCTAGTTTCCCTCACCTGAAGATTGGCTCCAAATAGCCAAGAAGAAGAAGAAGAAGAAGAAGAAGAAGAAGAAGTATCCTCCAAAGCTCGACTCCTGGACTTCAATCCTCCCAAAAACAAGCTTTCTAGTCTGAAATTCAAGAGAAGACAGAAGACATTAGTGATCTAGAGGAGAAGAAGAATCATACAAAGAAATTTGGGAGAGAAAGGAGCTCACAAACCTAGAGTCATTCTCTCTAAAACTTATCTCTAAAACCTCTCTCTAAGTTCCCCTTTTTTTCTCTTCAACTGCATACATGTGACCTATTTATAGAAGTCTAGAGTGGCCAGAACGGCCCGTTTCGGATCCGAAATAGCCCGTTCTGCACTCCTTCATCATGTGTAAAACTCACATCTAGAACGGTCTATTCTTAAACTAGAACGACCCGTTTTGGAGTTGAGTTTAACTCACAACGACCATGTTTGAAACGGTCCATTCTCAACTAGGATTTATAGGCCTATTTAGTAGTTTAGAACGGCTCATTTCAGTCTACTAATTACGTAAATGTTTGGCTTTCATTATAGCCGAATGGTTATTCGTGGGTGGCCAACCTTAACAGGTGCCCATGATGTTCGGTCGGGGTGAGGGTACTCGCCTTGGTAATGGCCAGAGTGGTTTTGCTTGTTTACTATCCTAGTACACCACTCAAAAATTGTGACAACTCATCATTATGGTTCAGTGTAGAGTATAGACCACTCAAATAGTACAAATTTGTCTGGGTTGTTTCAATTAAGACAGAATATTGATTTTTGAACTATTTAATCATTTAATGATCCCAAATTGGGTGAAGGAGGTAAAATAACGAGTATTTGGAAATTTTGACACTTGCAATGAGTGAACAAATTAAATTATTTGTGCAGACACAACATTAGATGCATGAGACTTAAATTTTGTTTAAATACAAATTTATAACTATTTTTTGAAAAATTCTCTATTAAAAATAATTCTTTACTTTAATAAACAAGTTCTTAAAAACGCTTCTAATTAGTATATATTCAAACATACTCTTATTTTCAAATTATTTTCTTCATGATTCATGCAGATTGGGGATACTAGAGTAACACATTTTTCTTTCACCCAAAACTTGACTTACAATTTGATAACATGTCCCAAACTACTACCAACAGGTGATAGTAAGTCACAAGTTCTCAATGAATAGAGAGTCAGATGGTGTTTAAGATCTAGTATTTTGTTTGGCAATGATTCACAACTATAAGAAAGATTCTATTCCAGATAGTGAAAAAGTAGTTCACAAGGATTCCCAGTTTCATTTATATCGTTACTAGAAAAACCTTCCACGGTTGTTTGTGTTTATCATGTTAGTGTTCCTGATAATCTACCACACATTTCTTAAGAATCCTAATCACTCGAGGGCATATTGCAAAATCCTCATCATTCCAACATCTTTCACGCTCATAGCCTGCTTCAGAAGCTACTTTGGGAGAGGTGGGAACAAATATGATTTGCCACCAGAAGGAGGCTTATCAATTCAAAATAGTCATGATAGAACACAAAATCAAAATCCATTAAGCGACTTTTATGTTTCAAAAAAATCAAACCAAAAACACTACTAAGTAATTAACCATTCTTATCAACAACTATGCAAATAACATTACTTAGTGCAGCAACAGGTTGTGTGAACTGAGAGAAAAAGGAAAGGTGGAAGACAATAATACACATAATTACATTTTATCCATTCAATTTTATGTACATACCAAGTTTATATCTGCTCCAAATTACACCACCAAAATGTACTCTTTACACCATGTACAAACCCAAATTTACATCTACTCCAAATCACACCACCTAAAAGCACTATTTACCCTAAAAGCACTATTTACTCTTTTGGAATTGATAATCTAAAGGTACTACTTGCTCCATATACAACCTAGGCTACATGCTACTGCTTACAACTATTTACACTAAGCTATGTACATAGGTGTTTAAGCTTTCTACTGTACAGTGTGAATTCCAAGCCCCTCTGCTGGGGGAGGAATCTTGATATATACAATTTTTTTTACATATATATCTACATACATTTCTTTTTGACTTGAAAGTAACACGATGAAAATGCTGAGAATATACAAAGGAGGACTTAAGAATAAGATCTGATCAACTTAAAATTCTGAAAAGATCGAGCTTTGAAAAAATTTCCAAAGAGAAATCCAATTGTTGTTGGTTGAGGGGCCTTTGGTGAAAGACTAGAGTTTTGTTTTACTTTCAGTACTTTGTCACCAATCTGTCTGCGAATTGAATCGATAATCTTGGGGTCAACTGGGTTACCAGTAACATCTGTGACATAAAAAGTATCTCTTGCCTTTCCATCTTCTGTTGATATTTCTGCTCTTTTGATACATAAACTGTTTTCGCGAAATATTCTTGTGATATCAGAGAGAAGTCCAACACGATCCTCCGTGCACAACTCCAGCTCCATCCCCTGCATACAACATATCTTAGCATACATACCATTGAACAAAAAGTAGTTTGAGGTAGAGCTTCAAGTTGTTATCGGTAAGTCTGTTTGGATATAAACTAAAAGTACTTTTGCGAGTTTCTCTACTCAAAATAAAAAAGTATTTTCTAGCATAAAAACTCTAAAAAAACGATTATAAACTTGTATCCAAATAGGTTCAGTAACACACCTCAGATGCCCTCCTTTCAATTGCTGCTTCAAGACACTGCACGAGTCGTTCACGCTCGGCCTCCGAACTTATGGGAAAGCCATCGACATGCCTAATATAAAACTCCTAGACAAGGCAAAAAATGCTCACTCAGAAAAACTCATGCAGACTGGGTCTACCCAATCCATGCTGATGACCAGATGAAACTCCAGTAATCATTTGATGCATCAATTGGATTTGTAAACATATTGAATCCATATAGTTCAACTGATCAAAATATTTAGTTTTTACTGACCAAAAATATTAATATGAATTCAGCTACAATAACAAAAACATCACACAAGGCAAACAAAATTGAACCATGTAGCAAACAACAAAAAGTTGGCTAACCTGAAAAGCTTCTGTCCTTAATGTCTGAACAACTCCATGAAAAACTACATACTGCATGTCTGTTAAAGTGCAAACAATATCGAACAACAACTTCGGTCGATCTTTTGCTCTCATGGTAACCACAGTGTAATCTTTCTCAACACAATCTACAACAGTTACATGAGGTAGAGGGCGTTTATCTCTATCTCTATCTCTGAGTCCCCCTCTTCCTGCTCTTTCAATCCTTTCATAGTCCCTATCAGCAAACATAATCTGATGTAATCTTCTGTCCCTATTTGTAACTCCAGGGGGTGAAAGTGTTGTCCTTGCAGTCTTTGGATCATTACTCCCCCTAAGAACATTAGAAAGCAAATCCCTTATTGTAGAGAGGCGAGACGGATCCTTGATGGCGCTGCCGCTGGATTCATCCGTCACATGAACTACAGCTGCTGCTCTTGTGTTGTGTGTCCATATCTCAGCAGTCACCACACTGCAGCGAAGGTCCGTCAGAACTGCACAGATTTCGGATAGTAATCCTGGCCTGTCTGTGCCAGTAAGTTCAATTACTGTGTGTTCTTCAGTAGGTACAACCCCAACAGATTCTCTCATTGAGGGTGCAAAACTGGGATTGTTTTCAAGTCTCTACAATATGAAAAAAGAAAGGATAAAAATCAGAAACTACTATATATAATTCAAATTTAGCATTATGAAATTCTCAGATCACTCAAACAAAAAAGACATCTATTTAGTGGACCTAATTAGGCTTCACAGCCCAACATGACACTTCAAGAACCTCAAATTTATTACATGTGGGGGAGCATGGTATGGTATTTATTAAGATCAAATCTTCATAATTTCAAGACAATAAAAAATTCTTCAAGGATTTTATGTTGCATTTCATATCATCCTATGTTCACTATACTATTAAATAAATCAGTTCGACAGTGATAAAACAAGTTTATCTATCATCTTTCAGCACAAGCAATTCAAACTGTGTCCACCAGATGGATCTGGCAGCTTCATACAACCTTTGCTGGAAGAATACGGGAACCAACAGAATTTTGATAACTAAGATAAATAAACCAGTGAAAAAACAAGTGAGCATCAATTAAGAATGAGCATGCTCTTCCTCCATTTCACTTTGCTAAACTAGATCATAGCTAGCTAGTGCAATCAGCAAGCAGAAAATTAAAAGCTTACTCAAATACCAGTGTTCTGCTTACTTAACCTGAGTATTTCTAGCAAAGAAGTACAAGAGGTTGAAAAAAGACCCTTTCACAGATATGAAAAACACAAATAAGCCTTAATTAAAAGCACTTTAAAAAATGCAAGCCTTCAAATTCCTACCCTCTGAATATAATCAATGACTTCCTTATCTCTGATCTTGTTTCCATTATGATCAATCACATTGAACACTGAAAAAATAAATCAAATTAATACTAGGATCAGAAGCGAAGTTGATAATAATAATAATTTTTTGACCAAATAATAATAATAATAATAATAATTTTAGTCTTTTCCCCCTTCTAGCTTGCCACAGATGAAGAAGGGAACTTACCATCCATGAACCATACTCCATCAGAGGAGATGTATGCCTTTGTTATTACAAGGTTCATATCTGAAATAACTTGGACAACATCCAAGAGAATCCCATGTTTGTTGACACTATCAACCTGCAAAAGTATTTTAGATAATAAAAAAAGTGGATAGCTGATTTATCTTTTCGAAAAAAGAAATTGACAATAAAAAATAAAAAATAAAAAACCAAAAAAATTGCAACCAAGGATTCCGCAACATCAAATCATTGGCAAAATTGAAAGAAGAAAAAAAACAGGAGGAATCTTTTAGGTTGTCAACTCAACTTTGTGAACCAAAACAGAGGAAAACACCAGCTTTATAACATAATCATTAGAAAAACTGAAAGAAGGAAGAAATAAAAAAATAAAAAAAGAGGAAGAATCTTTCTTATTGTCAACTCAATTTTGTGAAACCTAAACAGGGGGAACCATCAACTTTACCTGAATAACAGTGGCGTTTTCACAGGCATTGTTGTCAATCACAACCCTGCACGCATGAAGCTAGTTAGACAAAACAACACCACTCACTCTTATGCACACAACATACTCACACAAGAATTCATACATGGAGATAACGATTACCAGATCAAATCACATGCCAAAAAGGCCACGATGAACATAAGTTAACAAAATTTTCAACCTCTAGAAAAATTGACCAAGCATAGTCTTGCATCCTTTTTCTATATATATATATATATATATATAAACATTTTGAAAACATGGTATGCTTCACTGCTCACTAAAGTGAATAAAAGAAGAACCAAGCAAGGAACTTCGGTATGAGTGGGAAAATTGAAAACACCAAACTGCAAAAAGGGGTTTAATTTTGTAGCCCCAGTTGATCAAAACTTCCATCAACCAAAAGATCCAAAACACAAAAGAATAGCAAAAACTAAAAAGTGACCTTGGTGGGTTCATCCTTCTTATGAGCTTAGCATATTCATCATCCATGTGTTATGTTATGTACAATATGAAGAGAAGAAGAGTGGTATCAAAGGTTGAAGAAAAAAAGGAACAGGAACTCCAAGGTGCAAGGAGAGAGAGAGAGAGAGAGAGAAAAGTGAAGTAGGAGAGAGGCACTTCACTTTGAATCCACATTGTTTTTTGGGTTTTGTAGTTTAATAATAAGGAGGCTGCTGCTGTGAAGCAAACGGGTCGTTTCGTGTCACGTGTACGTTCAGGATTCGGAAAAGGGCGGTTACGTGCTTTCTTTATCCGTACTAACGGAGGGATGGGGTTACCTCTTACTACCGTCATGACGTCACTCCTGCCACGTCACCCACTAACTTTCTACACTTCTTTTTTCCTCTTATATTTTTATTAAAGGCTGTAAGGAAAAGATGTATCGGTTTGAATAATACCATAAATAAAAAAGTTTAATTATGATTTTAATCTTTTTAAGTTTTGGCATTGTTAATATCATCGTATTTAAGATAGATATTGTTTGTTTTTATGTCAATATTTTAAATATAAGTTTGTTGATATCATTAAAATTATCATGTTTAAAATATTATTTATTTTAGTATTTATTAGTTTGTCACGATTTTGTAAAAGGTAGTTTGAATGTTATGTTTTTAGATGGTTGAAATTCTAATGATGTCTTTGTTTAAAATTCGAGCATTCAAAAGTATAATATGTTTGTTTTTGTCCATTGGTAAGGATGACAAAGCGGGTTAGTCTGGCCTATTTTGGCATAGTTTGCCAATAGCTTACCAAAAAATAGGTCGGGTCAGGCTAGCTCGTCATTGAAAAGAGGGCTAGAAATGTTGATCCACCCCGCCTAAATACGGGCTAAAGGGCTGGCGGGTCGATGGGCTAGCCTGTATTATATTAAAAAATGCAAAAAAAAAATTTGTAAAGAAATTACCAACGGGTTGGCGAGCTTGACAGGTTGGAATGATGAGCTCAGCCCACCAAATTTTGACGAGCTTGCAGGTCACGACCCATTTTTCCACCCCTAGTCCTTGGATAGAAACTTTATACCTAGCTATTATGCCTTCATAGGCTTCAGGAATCCTAAATTTTGTGGAGATTTACTTGATATTAGGTATTGTATTTGTTATTTAATCATAGTCCTTAGTGACTAGATTTTGTGTCAAATATGAGTTATATATTGAAGTTGTGCCAACATCCCATGAGGGGGTCAAATTACTTGGTATATTAGGAGTATGATTGGTGGGATACTCTATCAAAACCTCTTAACAAGGACCTCTCAACCAAAGCTTCCCAACAAAAGATTGGGAGGGTACACTATAAAAGGAGAGCCTAGACCATAATTGTCCCTTAGCCTCGACTCGAGAGCTTGTTCTAGTATGCATAAAAATCTCACATTACTTAGAAATCGAGGCTAAGAGTAATTTATAAACATTATTCTTCCTTAATCAACCAAAGTGTCTTTTTAAGGACAAAATCATGATATCTTAATGAGTGACGAAACAGACAATACCTCAACTGTGGTGACCTTAATGATGCTAGTAGACTTATCGTCAAAATATTGACGTTAAAAGGAGGGCCTAAGGATAGTTTATAAACACATTCCTCCCTAACCCACTAAGGTGTTGCCCCTTAGTCTCGACTAGGAGTTTGTTCTAATATGCCTAAAAGTTTCATATTGCTTAAAAATATTTTTTCTAAAAGGGTGCACAAGCTCCCCAACCCTGAGCACAAGGTGCGAGTTGAGGTTAATGATAGTTTATAAATATCATTCCCCCTTAACCCATTGAGACTTTGCTCCTTAGCCTTGACTAATAATTTGTTTCAATATGCCTAAAAGTCTCACAACATTCAGGAGTATTTTTTCTGAAAGGGTGCACAAACCCCCCAACCTTGAGCACAAGGTGCGAGAGTTGTCAAGTTCAGAACCTCCACTTGGCTATTTAATGAAAGGTTGAGGTTATTATCGTAAAATGTCTAATTTCATCACATAGTTAGTTGAAAGAAGCCAACAAATTAGTTGTTTAAACTAAGGATTTTTCTTACTTCTACACTTAGTGGCTTAAAAGAAGATGTAGTTGATGAAGTCGTTGCTCTTAATCACAACAACCTATTGCAATCGTGTTGCAAGTAATCCTACTTATTGATTCTCTGAGTTGTTTCTAATCGTGGTGGTTAGTTGCATCATGTTGCAAGCAGTTTTACTCGACGATTCTTCGAATCGCTTCTAATCGTGATGGTCGATTGCAATTATATTGCAAACAATCCTACACTTCAATTCTTTGAGCTACTTCTAATCGTGATGAATTATTGCAATTGTGTTGCAAGCGATCCTACTCGTCAATTCTTCAAGCCGCTTCTAATTACAGTGGTCAATTGTAATTGTGTTGAAAGAGGCCTACTCAACGATTTTTCAAGTTGCTTCTAATTGTGATGGCCATTACAATCATGTTGGAAGAGCTCTTACTCGTCGATTTGTTGAGACGCTTCTAATCGTGTTGGTTGATTGGAATCATGTTGAAAGCGGTCCTACTCATCAATATAGGGTTTAGTGATTCCATTACAGGGTTACTTATGAAACTAATCTAATGAGTTAACTCGAACCAGTAAGGCATTTGAGTCTTGATCAACCAGTCTAACCAATTAGTTCGAGTCGAGTTTCAAAACTATGCTCCAATACCTAATTGGTTTCCAAAATTAAAGCCTCACATTGACTAAAAATAACATATAAAAAGTATATATGATCATATAATGAAATTTAAGATAAATGAACTTTTATATTTATATGTGATTTATATTTAGCAGTAGCTAAATTAATATATGTTTAACTTTAAAGGACTTAAAGATAAGAACTATAAAATATAAATGGTAGTACAATTTATATTAATACTAATCATCATTTTATAAAGCTTTACAATCACTTAGCAACATTGTTAAAATATTGCAAAATACCACTTTAATTATATTTTCAAAATGTTGTTATTAACAATATTAACTCATAATTTAACAACATTTTTCTAATGTAGATAAAAATACATTTTATTATAGTCATTTTACTTACACATCAATATGTATATAAATGTCACATCATTGTCAACGCGTAAAAAAAGAATACTAAAAAGAGTAAATTAAAAATACATTAAAGTCTATTATTTATATTGTTAACGTGTTAATCAAACTATTGAATAGACTAAATTAAAAGTGCATTTAAGAGTATTTTATTATATGATTATTATGTTGATCAAGTAGGTCTAATAAATTAATAAAAAAAATAATAAAAATATTAAAAAAATAGGATATAAATATAAAATTTTATACATATTATATTAAATCTTACTTCTTGATTAAGTCTAATATGTCATTTAAAAAGAGGTGCATAATTTTTTTTTATAAATTTAAAAAATCAAACTAAATGAAAATATTGTGAGAAAAATATATTTTAATCTATTAAATATTCTTTACATGTGTATGCGGATTATATAACATAAAACTAAGTACATAAACGAAAAAAAAATCTTGTATTTCTCACCTTTATATACATTAGAATAATTATGTAACACTCAAATTTTTTAATATTATTAAAAGAATATGTTAATTAATTAACTATTAGAAAATAATTATGAGTGTCTTTAATTAAATAAAAAATTATAAAATAATTTTATTATAAGTATTTGAAAAAATATATTTTTATTATAATTATTCAAATATTTTATTTTATTTCTGATTATTTTTGTTTATTAAAAAAATAATTTTTGTTTTTAAAAAGGAGATTTTCAAAAGTGCATTTAAATCTATAATTTATCACATGTCATTATGTTGACCAAGTGGATGTAATAACTAATAAATTAATGAAACGACTTAATTAATCTAAAAGAAGTATACTTTAAATGATAAAGTATTTTTTTAATTTAAAAAATCAAAATAAAAATAAAAAACGATAAATTTTTTTTCAACCTATTAAATATTCTACACGTGTAAGTGTATTAACATAAAGTTAAGTATGGAAATGAAAAAGTAAAATAAAATCTTATATATCTCCTCCGTATATCTTTTTGGTTAAAAGTGGAATAATAGTATTTTTAAGTATTATCATTTATGATTCCTCTAAAAAAAAGTATTATCATTTATGAGTGTTTTTTTTTATGAGAATATTTTTAGATTTTTTTTTCAACTTTTTATTTTTCGTAGCCTTTTTATCTTTATAAAGAGAAATAAGCATTCCGTGATTCTTTATTTAATAAAATAAGAAAAATTAGAGAATTTTTTTTTAAAGATATATCTTTTATTAATATTTAGGGTCAGCAAAACCTAAAAATTAAAAGTGCATTTAAGTTTATAATTTATCACATGTCATTATGTTAATCAAGCGGGTGTAATAACTAATAAATTAATGAAAAGACTAAATTAATTTAAAAGAAGTATATTTTAAATACTAAAGTAAATTTTTAAATTTAGAAAATCAAAATAAAAATAAAAATATGAAGGAATTTTTTTAACCTATTAAATATTCAACACACATGTGTACATGTATTAACGTAATAGTATGGAAATGAAAAAAGAAACTTGTATATCCCCTATATATATATATATATATATATATTTTATATAT